GGGGGCAACGCCGTCTGTCAAAGGGAGACACCAAAATGGCAAAGACCAATCACTAACTTCTTCCTGAACAAAGAACCAAGCCGTGAGAGTGAGGATGTGGAAGTTGATGATCAGGACAGCGGGAGTTCAGGTAAAATTTACTAACTGGTGCCCGTGACTTCGTCTGCAAAGCCGGAGTACTTTGCGTAGCGTATTTGTTGCTATATAAGTATTCATGAAGTTATGTGTCTTAGTAATTTTCGGGGAGTCGGGGGTCTTCTTTATTTCAATAACGTAGAATTGGGGAAAGTATGCGGTTTTATTGAGTTAACAATTTACAATTAGAAATAGTACAAGCGTAGTAAGACTATACTTGAGGGCCTCAAGTAGCTTTTGGTGGTTGGTTTTGGTTTGGTAACAGTGAAAGTGTTGAATCAATCACCGTCATCATGAAACTTAAGAGTTATACTCTTGTCGGTGGAGCCTCTTCCAGTCCTCTCTACTACACAAGCCAGCTCCTTGACCTCCTTATGTAACTGCGCCTAGGTCGACCTCTTCCCCTCGATCTTTCCCTCCAAAATGGTCTTAAAGAGGTTGTATCATATGTCCAATCATTTTCCCTCGTCTATACTCTATAGTATTCAGGATCGTTCTTTTGTTGTTCACCACTCTCAATACCTCCTCGTTGGTTTTGTTTTCCATCCAACTTATACCCTTCATCCTCCTTGAATCAGTCATTTTGGAAAAAGTATACAGTAAAATTGAGGATTGATACAGCGATTACCATACTATGTGAAAGCACGACTTCTAAACATTTTTTCACAATGCAAAAAAAAACATAAACTTACCTCGAAATTTTACGAGAAAACCGCTGTATTCAATAGGTATTTTACGTATACCAATGATTTTTTTTTAATATGAACTGAACTAAATAGGACATTTATACTATACGGTATACATTTTCCAAATAGCCTTAATTTCGTTTCTAAAAAAAATAATTCTGAAATAAAGCCAGTGTCCCTGCCACTCGACCTAAGGAAAATGAACCGTATTAGTATGGGAAAAATGCATATATACATACATACAAATACAATAACATACATGAATACGAAAATTGTATCTAAAATCTAAGTGTCGTCGGTGTATAATGCCGCTGAACCATTTTCTTGCACCACAGTTTTAGGTTATTCGTCATGCTGAGTTGAATGGTCATTATGTGTCCTCTAATAAAAAAATCTTTATTTTGCAGCAGGTACATCAAAAGCAAAAAATAAACATAATGTTATTCATTCCGACGACGAGGACGAAGAAGCTGAAAAACCAAAGAACACTGTATTAGATGACACCATTGAACTAGAACCTTTAAATGGAGATGATAGCCACAAGATCGAGGAATATTACCTTAAAAATGGGGTAAAAGATAATTCTAGTAGCAAAAACGGGGTAAAAGATACACAGCATGTAGAAGATAAGGTAAAACACACAGAAAATGGGGTGAAAGATGTGGAAAATGGGGTAATAGATACAGATAATAGTGACGACAAAAAAATCAGGGAAAAGGGTAAAGGAAAAGGTAAGAAGACGAATAAAGAGAATGTTGACAGCAATATTGAAAGTAGAATATCTTTGAAGAGAGATTTGGAAGACATTGCGTTTGAGGAAGAGAACGAGCATGTTAGCAAGAAAATTAAAGTTTGATTTTTAATCATATGAACTAAGATCACACTACCGAAGTCTATCTGGTTGTTTAATTGTTCGTTTATGACTTAAGGACCCCTTACCACATCTTGCCATCAGATATGAATTCACATTCTTCTTATCGGTAATGCTTGCCGTTGTAAGGTTCTCGCCGATTGTTGTCCAGGCTGCGCCAGATATAGAAAAAGGGATGATGCGTCATGCGGGGCGGAGGCTTCTTTCGTGCACCCCTACATTAAATTATCTACAAAAATCAATAAAATAAAGAAACGAACTGGTGTTAAATTTCTTTACTATGCGAATTTTTTTTCCGAAATAACGTTTGATCGAGTTTTCATTGCACCGAAAACCGAATTATAACGAAACCGTTGTTCTTTCAGGATATGTTGGTTGTTTATCGCAGACACGATTAGGTTAAGTTTAAAAGAAAAAACATTTTCCTCTCAAAATTGCTTTCGAGTAGGAAATGAAACTATTTTTCCGGATTTAAATCGCGTATATTTGTTTTTTCAAACAAACCGACGTTTCGGGCCCTTTACAGGTCCCATGGTCAGGATTGACTGAGGTGGTACAGTCTTCAACCAGTTATATCTAATATTAATGCAAACCACCCTATTTTTTCACTATAGTTGCAATAGTTATTAATTAAATACCTTATTTTTAATTTTACAAAGAAAACGTTCCAATTTACGCTACCTTAAGTTTTACAAATTATTTTATCGAATGAATTTTTAATAAGTTCAATTTATTATTAATTAATAATAGAAATTAGAATAAACTAAAAGATATTAATTAGTACTGCAGTCGAAACGTCGGTTTGTTTGAAAAAACAAATATACTCGATTTAAATCCGGAAAAATAGTTTCATTTCCTATGTGTAACAATCGCGAAAACCTAAGAACTCGATATTACTTTCGAGGTTATGAAAATTCGAGCTAACGTTATTTCTGCAAAATGTCATTTCCGACTACTGCTAGGTAACCAGCAGCCACCCCTATCCGTTGTCTTTAGCAGGTCTTCAGACACAGTACGATTCAACTGCGATTGCAATTATTTGGTATTCTGCTCTTTAATGGAGAGTCGATGGCACGTAATGTACCAATAAACGAGAAAAAATTTAAATAAGCATAGTAATTTCCATGGTGAAATTACAGAGACATGGGACTTGTCAACTTATGTCTCAGGTTGACGGGTGCAGTGGAAGTGCCCCCAGATCTTTGGGATTTAAAGCTCTAACTTACTATCAGGCGCACACCTTGTCCGTCCGGTCACTTGATGCAATTAAAAAAAATGGTAGTCGAAATCCCTTTGTTGCGAATTATTCCTGCTACTTGGTTTTTTTATGATGTCAAATGACGGTACGAACAAGTGCGCTTCTTTTTCTACCTAAATGTACCTTATCAAAATTGACTTACTATTATATGGACGTCGGGTCCGCGCTAAAAAGTGTCCGAACTTATAGGGCGTTAAAATCGTATACAGAGCGTCATTCACGCTTTAGTCTTCGTTTGTTCGACTGACAGCGAAGCAAGCAAAATTAGACAGTACTGCGATGACATTACAATTTAAATTCAACGTTTTAGCTTTTTCATATTCCTTTACATGTCACTACGTTTAAATAGGTTGACTTGGGACATTTTTTTCGTGGTTTTTGTATTAGACCCGTCGTCCATTTATTTGTAAGTCAATGCTTATCAATGAATATAATTGAATATCCAATATCGTCGTTGTACTGCGAAAACCAATTATCTGGAATGTTCACAGAAAATGACATTTTCAAACTTAGGTAAAACATGAAATGTGGAATCATCTGTTAAAAATTACCTAATAAATGGTATGCATAAGAATTGAAATTTCAATTGCATTTGTTTCAAAGTCGATATTTTGTGAAGTAATTGTTTTTCCCAGTATAACAGCGATATCTTCTAAACAAAAGAGTGACTAATTCGAAAACTACGCTACAAGAACCGAGTAATTCACGACTTTTTCTGGGTGCAATCAAATCTAAGCAAGGGGCAGTGGTTTTCGAGATTCAAAAATGGCGCCGCCGGAATAAGCATATTCTAGCGCGGACAGTAAAACACTTTAATAACTTCAAAACGTAACGACTAAATCTAGTTTTTTGCCACTAGAACCGACTAAAGCGCGACTTTTTTTAGTATAATCAGATCTAAGCTGTGTTGTGTAAAACACCCTTATAAGTTCTGAACGGCGGACCGACTCAATATAGTTTATTGCGACTAGAACAGACTAAATAGATACTTTTTTCTGGCTAGTCCAATTTTAAAAACTCGACCATATTAATTTGCTGGAATAAATCACGCGGTAGAAATAGGTAACGTTGTACCACCGTACTTTTCTAGACGAACGCTTTCACAAGGTGCTCTACGAGTACTATATATAAATGGTTGCAACCGGATAACCGGGCATACTAGCCGCTTTAACCGGTCATTTGGGTAAAAAAGTTGGAAACAAGGATTTTGTCATAGATAACAAAAAATGTTTTTGAAACCAGGCTTCTTTGAATATACATACATATCATTACGCCTGTCTCCCACCGGGGTAGGATACTACTACAGAGACTATGGACTTTCATTTGCTCCAGACAAACCTTCTCTTTTTGAACATATATCAAAAAAGGTTCGTTCCCACTAGTTCTCTTGAGTAGGTCTATTAAATTAACTTTCAAGAATAATAGAACTAAGCCAATGTAATTACTGGGAATGATTTTTTCCCACTAGTTCTATAATAAAACTTCTCAATAGTACTGGTGGGAACGAGCCTCAAAAAAGAAAATTGGGGAAAGAGCGTTTTTGAAACATATATCAAAATATCTTAAATTCGAATTAAATAACAATAACATTGAAAATAAATCAGACTTTATTATTAATCAACTTTTGCGTCGAGAGAGTGCTCCACTGGTACCCACAACTGAATCGTAGGCTGCGCCGACTCTGGAGGGACGACATCACCCACAACCGGCTGCGGACATGGACGAATGGCACAAGTTGGAGGTCTACGTTACGAGATGGGCTTTCTAATAAATATAAAATCTTATATCTAAATTTGAAACTTCAAATCTCTAATTTCGATTTAATATAATTTAATTTTAAAGCCTGCTTTGACAAAAATAGAATTTTGAATTTTTTTTCGTGGATTAAAGGCGTACTCTGTAGCCCCACCTGGTGTCCTGTCAGGCGAGGGTTTCTTTCACCGAAAAGCTTATAGTAAATTTTAAATTAAATTACACATAAATGACAAGTAACTCAGAGGTGTTTATTATTATTATAACAAGCCGAATATTTTTTTATTAGGCCGGACATGTATCCAGAAAGCCTAATATCCGGCTTTATCCGGACGCCTGGTAACCATTGTATGACGTCGCTTATCTTGTTAAGGACCCATAAATAAAACATATGTTTTATTTTAATACACTTTATTTGTTCTATGAAAACTTCTCACTACCATACACGTTTTTTTAAAATTGTAGAAAATTGAAAAATTTTGCAAAAATCACCTACAATACAAAAGTCACTTCGACAATTACGATGTCTAATGGGGTAATTATTTCATTATTATAATTTAAACATTAAAAGTACTTAATCATTAAGGATTATAATTTTTTTTTATAATGTAAATAATACATAATCAAAATAGATATATTATTATTTCTAAATTATCTAAAACTTGACCAAATTATAACCTGAGACGCCAAAAAAGGCTTCCAGACTTGTTAGTTATTTTATATTCAAAATAGGTTTATCTGTTCTCCCTTGATGGTAATTGAAGATAAAAATGTCCAAATATTAAAATGCCCAAATACCAGAAAGACCAAATTTTAGAATAGAAAATTTGTATTCGGTGCTTCAACAGACTAAATCTGGTATAGACAACCACAAATTATACCCAAACTCACGAGAGAAATAAATGCAGACTGTACAATTATTTCTCCTGCCCCGGGAATCAAATCCGTGAACTCTGAATGCCAGTCCAGCATGGCAACTGTGGGGCCACTTTGAATAATAATAATATACTTGGACATTGTGTATAAGTAATTTTAATGCAAATTTTCTAAGAGGTTTGAGTTTACTTATTCAAAGTAGGTCAAGTTAAAAACAAATAAATTGAAAAGATTTCAGAACATAACAGTATACTTATTTTTATAAAATAGGTAAGATATTGCTATAGGTCACTTATAATTAATAATAATTGAGTATCTTAACTATAAATTTGTTCTTGTATAAAACCACGTTGGCAAGTTTTTATATTTATCTATTAAATATATGAAAGGTAAACAAAAACATTATATACGTATATATACAGGGTTTTTCGTAAAATACTAACAAGTAACAACCTCGCGGGACTATATTACTAACATCACAAACAACCTTTATTCCATGACTTAATAATTCATCTGATTTCATATTCAGACAAAAAAAAAATTAAATAGATCGCTCTAAACGTTGATAACTCTGTGTGGTAACAAAAGAAAGCACTCAGCAGCAAAATTATTTCTTCAAAATTAGTTCTGAACCAAAATCCTACCGTCTATGGTACTCGCCATTGAACTGAAAAAAATAACTTATTATTTTTGCTAATTAAAATAGTCTCCTTAAACGAGTCACTGTGTTCCTGAACCGAATAACATCACTAAATTTGTGAAATTATTAAAATTCAAATTATTTTATTAAACAATATCTCAAAATGTAGCTTAGACTGGTACAAAGGCGCAGCGTAACCATTTGGCAGGCAAACAACTCATATCAAATATGACGCCACTCAAACTTCTACTACCGCCTGATTGGTTAAAATATAAGTGGAACTTGACCAATCGCGGACACTCTCTTTGGTTTGTGGTTTGTGCTTTGTAGCATTTATTCGGATTTCGTTAGAGTTATCGTGGATTTTTAACAAAATATACTTTCAATATTGGTTGTGTTTCTATAGAAGATGAAACTATTTTTCCGGATTTAAATCGCGTATATTTGTTTTTTCAAACAAACCGACGTTTCGGGCCCTTTACAGGTCCCATGGTCACGTCACATGGTTAAATACTGTATTTAATTAATAACTATTGTAACTATAGTGAAAAAATAGGGTGGTTTGCATCAATATTAGACATAACTGGTTGAAGACTGTACCACCTCAGTCAACCGTGACCATGGGACCTGTAAAGGGCCCGAAACGTGGGGTTTGAAAAAACAAAGATACGCGATTTAA